GTCCCCGTCGTCACCACGGCAAAGCCCGCAGAACTCACGACTGCATGTCACACACGAGAATTCAGCATTCGGGTGCCTACGGTCGTTGGGATCATCGAGGGCACAAATCTTTGGCGCTTCTGGGCCATCACCGCCGGGAGCCCCTCTTGCAGCCGGCGCTGAGGCCTGTCCACGATCCGACGGAGCTCCAGCGGTCCCTCGCCTATCGCCGGGACTCTGGGTGTCGGCGCTGGCTCTACTCCCAGGAGTCCTCCACTCATCACCAGGACTCTGGATGTCGGCATGGACCCTATTATCCCCACCACCTCCTGAATGACGACCTGGGTTCGGAGAGACGTTCCCGCTATCGCGGATTGGCCTATCAAAATTCGGAGAGACGCTCCCGCTATCGCGGATCGGCCTCTCCCCCCTCGGTTGTCGACTCCGGACCTCAGATCCCCTATCGGGGACGGCAGCAGGCCTCGGGCTCCTATTCCTACCCGCATCCCTATTGGGGGAAATAGAAACGTCCCCCCTTGCGCGCGCGCGGGGACCACCCCTTGCACGCTCCGGTGGCGAATGCTAGATTGGATGCCTGTCTGCGCGAGAAGGATCGACCCTATCGGGCACATTCGGCAAAACATGATCAGGCAAAACAACGCCTCCGCCTGGTCTCACCGGCAGGCCAGTACCCCGGCCGTCATCTTCCCCTGGTGTAGGCGTCGGTGACCTGATCCTATGTCCTTGCCCCGCAAATGCATGGTAACCAACATTCCGTCTTTCTCTGGGTTGTGGAGGAGCTTCATTAATCTGCTGGACACCCTGGATAATGCCAGCAGCCTCGTCAAATTGACCCTCCATCTCAAAGAGCTGGGACATGATTCTGTTGTTCGCGGCGCTAAGGTTACGCACGTTACCATCGATAGCGCTGACTCTCCGCATAACACCTTCAAGTGTACTCCGGAATGTGCCGAGCTCTCGCCTAACGGCAGGCTGCACTTGGTCACTGCTGGCAGGAAGATTACGGATCTGTCCTTGGATGCCATCAACGACCCGATTCACAACTGCCGATCTCGCTTCATACTGTTCAACATGTGACTTCACGGTTTCAAACCTCGAAATGATGTCGTCATGATCCCGACGTTGACGTTGAATTCCTCGAGCCAGATCCTGCATCTTCCGATTGATCTCGTCAACAGCCTCATGCCAGTCCTGCGGGGAATCATGCCCTGATGGTCTATCGACCTCCTGAGAACCCCTTCCACTCTGCAGTCTAGACACTCGATTAACAAGACGAGTGTGCTCCTCTTTGACCCCCTCAATAGATTCAGAGGCCCACTTGGCAAATGTCTCGTGATCAAGGAGAGCTTTCTCGATCTTCAGGTTTAACTCCCTGAAATTTGCATCGACTACACTGCCGCTGGCCCTATCGGACGGATGCGCGACAGGATTCGGGTTCCATACACCTGCCGGTGTCCGCATCCCAACGGTTTTCTCTACCGAGAACATCCGTTTCTCAAGCTTGTCCAAATCCTTAAGGATCTCGTCCTCAGAAGCAGCATGGCTTCTGCGGGCAGCCTCACTATTCTCCTGAATCATCAGGCGAAGCCGATCAGTCGATGCCTCATTGTCCCTGACAGATTCATGGACCTCGTGGGACAGTAGGTTAATCCTCTGCTCCACGACCTCGGCTTGCTCATCGATGGCTTGCCTCACAATGGCCTTGCTATCGGGAATAACTTCCCTTGCGAACCGTTGAACTATCATTCGCATCCTCCCGGCATCAGATTGAGTCGCAACCTCAGCTGCCAGTCGATCGACCTTGTCCTTCGTCTGTTGATTCTCGTCGCTCCATTCCCTTCGCATGGAACTCACTTGACCGTTCAGTAACCTGATCTGGTCAGCAAAAATATGGAAAGCTTTCGCGACTGAGCCAGAAACCTCACCTCTCTCGAGCATCTCCTGGATGTGCAAATCGAACACCTCCTTTGCCCTAGCGTCACCTGATTCACCGGAAGAATGAGACCTGAGTGCTGGAGGAGTCGATATCTCGATCCTCTCAGGAGCCCCACTAGCTCTAGCATATCTTCTGGGGTCATCCACAGGACTATCACCAACCCCAGATGGCCTGCTAGGAGTAGAACCCCTTCTACGGCTATCGCCGGAACGGGGATCAACATGGGACGCACGAGACTCGGGAGTAGAGTGGATGTGAACATCAGCAGGATCAGGCATCTCCTCATCCTGCGGAGTTGAGTCCATTGGTGAGGGGCTAGCCCTCCTCGCCTTCGACCTATCGGTCTCAATGGCCAGGGGTGACGGTCTCTTCGCAGAAGCACTACGTTCCCTGGCGGTCGAGCCCCATTGAGGTGTGAACTCGTTGCTGGACCTTAGCGTTTCAAGGTCACTGGTATCTCGCCCTAACGGGCTAGCGATCGACGGACGATCCTCGATTCCGAGTGCATCGGCAAGCCGGCCATCTCTTGCACCTCTCCCAACGACATCGGCAACCCGCTCAGTGACTCTCGGCGAACCAGTAACCCGGTTCGAGTTCACGTCTCTCTGATTTAACGGACCTCCAAACGTAATGTTGGGAAAAGGGGGAACATTCGGGGTATCACCAATCGCCGGGGGACCTACCGGTCCCTCACGGTCATGGATGGCCTCCAATCCCCGAAGAACTTCCCGACTGTCCCTGGCTCTCTCTCTCTCGCTTCGGGCATCCCTGTCAACGCGAAGGTCCCTGGCGGCTCCACGAGAGAGGCTCCTGGGCCTCGCAGCATCACGGATCCTAGCATTTCGTCGTGGTTGGTCCTCCTCCTCATCACGGCGATCCGCAAACGCGGCATACTCGTCATCATCATCGACCTCAAACTTGGCAGCGGCGGGACTAGTCCTTGCAGTCGCACGGCTGCCTGCATTTCGGCGCGAATGGCTCTCCTCCTCATCCGCAAAATTGTAACCTTCGCCATCATAAGACTCAGATTTGGCAGTATTAGGGTTGGGCCTACCGGCATCAGATCCCTGCTTTGAGCTACTGCCCCAACCTGCGGTTGATTTCAACAGATCATCGTATCCGAAGTCCGTGAATTTCCGCTCCTCGTGTTCATCAAACTGACCTGGATTCTGAGAACCAGTGGATCGGCCCGGGATACCTCCCGGAACCAGAACCATAGTCCCTGGTCCCTGCGGCCTACTCTCAAACTCATCCGAGACCTGCGACTCACCTGGAACAAGAGATCTCGGAGGTCGAATCGGCATGGCCTCCGGGTCATCCGAATGAGGGCGGGCCATGTCCATCGCCATGCTGGTGAAGTCAAAATGTCCACGCCTGTGACCTGATTCAGAGCCACTCCTATCGGAGTAAACCCTTCGTGTCTGCTCGTCATCAGTGGCCTGGCGGAAAATACGATCGTCTCCATCGTCGGCGTACCTGCCACGGCTCCTGGGTGTATCCCTACCGGGATCTTCACCCCTGCGGTCCTGACCTGTCGAACCTGCTTCGAAATCCTCGTAGTCATAGTCCGGTAGGTCCTCACCTGAGCGGAGGCCACCTAGGATGGCCTCCTCATCCACGACGCTCCTTCGAGATCGTGGGGTCGACATAGAGCTTGTAGTTGATGGTCTCAAGCGCGTAGGAAAGTCCTACGGCTGATAACCTGTGATTCGGGCACGAGCCTGTGCCCAGGCAATGGGTAAGTTGGGGTAAACAAGCCACAAAAGAAAGGTTCCCCAAAAGCAAACCAATCCCCGGTCCCAAAGATCAGGGTTTCCCACACACCAGAGAACAACAACCAAAAGGAAACAAACCAAACAAGAAAAGGGTTAACCCGCAACCTTGGTCGACAACAGGCCGCACGACTGGTCCCTACCAACCTGGCGGCGGCCCGAGGTCTCTTTCTCCCCCGAGATGCCGTCGGTCGACGCAGGGGCTCGGCGACGCCCATTCGAGGCGCGACGGAACCCAAAACTTGAGCCAAAACACCACAGGTTGGTCACTAACGCGACGTTCCTGATGATGATATGAACCATGGCTAATCACAGTTTCAAAGTGGAGCGAACGGAGTTCGTCCATCCATAGTCTGGGGGGTGTCTTTTTGGAGTTGGTACCCTTTTGGTGGTTTCAAGGAAAATCAAAGAGAACCGCAAAAAAAAGGTACCAACAGAAACAAACACCCAAATGTTTGTGAAAATGGTGAATCGACCCCCTTGTTGCCACGCAAACCAGAAGCAAGCATTTTAGGGTCCCATTGAGAAACCAGCGGCCTTACGAACCACATGAAACCTCTTGAAATTGAGATTGGGGTTTGCTCCAAAGACTCGGCCAAGGAAAGCTGCTGCCAAACGCCAATTGGGTTGGTCAGCTTGGATTGAAGGGAAACCCAAGAAACAACACAATTTCTCCATATTCAGTATCTATTTTTGGGGGCCCGCTCCTAGTTTGAGACCCAACTCGCCACACCCCTGGTTTGGTCACCTTGAGCAGTTGGATTACTTGGGCCTTTTCGCAATGCCGGTTGCTTTGTTTCCCCCCTGCGGAATCCTGGTTACCATGGCGGCAATGCTGTTTCCCCCCACCCCTAAATGGTGTCAGAACAAGCGCCGTTGACTTGACAGGCCATACGATTTGGAGGACTACGTATATTCTGATTGCGAGCACACTGGCAAAATTGCATTGACGGGCTGCGTTTGGGGGAAGCATCCAGACCAAAACTGAGGTGGTCAACAGGCCGACACAAAAACGCGACCACTCTCTGGTCACGCGCAATGCAAGCCAGCCAAAGTGGCATGCGCGATGTGCACGGAAGAAATGCTCGCAGCATCTTGAACAGAGAAATCGGATTCCAATTGCTCCGCTGAAATCATTCTAGGAGGGACCCCAACGCCCCCTAAACCTTGTTTCTACAAACATTTGCTGACAAAGCTTCACACAGCCCCTACCACAAACGCACGGGATCCGACTTTTACGCTGCTCGTTTTGGTGTGTGAAGCCCTCCGGCACTCCAGATCGAGGCGCAGGCGTTTAAAGTCGCGAAGGCCTGATGTCACTGGGCCATGCCAAGCGGGCCCCAAAATGGAGCCTGGTTTGCCTTGCGAAAAGATGGCCCAGGCACGAGTCCCGTTGGTGTCCAGTTGGGCCAACATGGGGCGGAACACACGCGTGTGGCGACAGTGGTGCATCGGCAAAATATCGTTCCTCCATTGAATTCGTGATGATATGCTCAGTCGCTCATCGGCCAACCATTGCTGTTGGGTGATTGGGGTGTTGGGCTGGGCTGTTGCGCTATTGGGTTATGGAGCTGTTCGCTTTGGGCTGTTGGGCTGTTGCTGTTGCTGGGCTGTTGAGCTGCTGGGCTGTTGTCTGTTAAGCTGTTGTGCTGTTTGCGCTGTCGGGTTTCGGGTTTAGGGTTTACGGTGCGTGGTTTGGTTGTCCTGTTGGTTTTGTATGGGCTGTTGGGCTGCGTTGGGCTGTTGGGTAGGCAGCAATGTAAATCAGCAAAAACAACATAACCCAAGCAATGCCAAAAGCCGATTCTATCAAGCGTGCCGCGACATGCGAAATGGAACGCTTTCGTCTGAAGAACCTCCAAAACCTCCTGCCTAAACCTCCCCCCCACCCACCCAAACGACAGCCTCACCAAAAACCCTTCTGCGGGAGAAAACCTCTTTCCCAAAACCTCTCCCCAACACCGGGAAACAAAAGTGCTCTCGCACCAAGGTCTCCGTTTCTTGGTCAGATTTGCCCCAGCCCCCGCTACACCTTGGTGTAAAGCTGCTGCATTGGCCCAGCGCTTGTGTCATAGGGGTGGGTTCGCTTGGACGTTCCAATCCAGCCACTGGTCTCCCATCATATTATCTCGCAAAACCTCCCCCCAAACCTCCTCTCCCCCCATACCCCCCAAAACCTCTTCTCCAAAACCTTTTCCCCAAACCTTTTCCCAAAACCTTCCAAAAAAACAAATCTGCCACAAAACCTCCTTCCCAAAACCTCTTCCCCAAAACCTCCTTCCAAAAACATCCCCCCCAAAGCAAAAACAACTCCTCCCAAAACTTCCTCCCAAAAAATACTCTCCCGCAAAACCTCCTTCCCCAAACCTCCTCTCCCCCCATACCCCCCCCAAAAAAAAAAACATCTTCCCCAAAACCTTTTCCCAAAAACCTCCTTCCCAGAACATCCGCCCCAAAACCTCCTTCCCAAAGCATCCGCCCCAAAACCTCCTTCCCAAAGCATCCCTACAAAAAGAAACCACTCCTCCCAAAACCTCCTTCTCAAAAACATTTTCCCGCAAAACCTCCTTCCCCAAACCTCCTCCCCCCCCATACGCCCCAAAACCTCTTCCCCAAAACCTGTTCCCCACAACCTCCTTCCCAGAACATCCGCCCCAAAACCTCCTTCCCAGAGCATCCGCCCCAACACCTCCTTCCCAAAGCATCCCCACAAAAAGAAACCACTCCTCCCAAAACCTCCTTCTCAAAAACATTTTCCCGCAAACCCTCCTTCCCCAAACCTCCTCTCCCCCCATACTCCCCAAAACCTCTTCCCCAAAACCTTTGCCCCAAAACCTCCTTCCCAGAACATCCGCCCCAAAACCTCCTTCCCAAAGCATCCCTACAAAAAGAAACCACTCCTCCCAAAACCTCCTTCCCAAAAACATCATCCCGCAAAACCTCCTTCCCCAAACCTCTTCTCCCCCCATACCCTCCAAAACCTCTTCCCCAAAACCTTTTCCCCAAAACCTTCTTCCAAGAACATCCGCCCCAAAACCTCTTCCCCAACACCTCCTTGCCAAAGCATCCCTACAAAAAGAAACAAACTCCTCCCAAAACTTCCTTCCCAAACACCTTCTCCCGCTCTGAAAAAACAACCTCCTCCCCCGCGCCAGCCTTGCCCTGGCCCTGCTTCAGCCAGCTCTGGGGCTCGCAGACCGCGTCGCTGTAGGAGGTGCAGGGCCCGCCCCCGCACCACACGCAGGGCGAGCCCCCCACAGCGATCCCGTGGGGCTGGTACCCGTACCGCCCATCCACCCGGCCTCGGCTCGGGATATGGATCCGGCGTCTTCCTTCGTTTCGGAGACCGAAAAATAGACATGATCTCACATGTGCGGCGACTTTCACAGTGGAAAGGACTGCGGCTCACTTGAAGGCCCATTCGGAACCAGAACCCGGAACCCATCTGCCACGGTACAGGCAAACGACATCAAATCCCTGTACTGGCTAAACCGATGCGCATCAAAGGAACGTTTCTGGAAGAGGACCTAGGCAAAGTGGAGCCCGAGTCCCGCCAGTCAGTGCTTGTCTTTTAGCCCGGTGCAACCCCAGAAAGGAAAAAAAACAAAAAGGAAAACACAAAATATGCGCAGGCCTACAACGCACTGTGTTTTTGTTCGGGGATCAGTGCCTGGAGTGCAGGAGCAAGAACCAGGGTGGTGTGGCTTTGTGCTGTGTTCATCAACTACGCTTGTTTGACGAATTCGAGTCTCTGGGTATGGTCTTTCCAGTTTGTGTTGTGAACAAAAACAAGAGGGTGGCCCAGCGGCCGTACCAAACCTGCACCCACAGCACGTGCCGCGAGATGCATCAATCAAACCGAGAACCACCAAGAGTCCAAGGAAAACAGAATGGACGTCGTTACACCTAATCACATGCGGATCGATCAGCACCCAAATCGCTGGCTCTGAGATTCCGGGCTCAGGCACATGAGCTTGTGGCGGATGGAGCCTCGGTTAGTCAAATACTCACCTGCAGCTTGAAGATCGAAAACAAATCCGAAATCAGGCCTTGCAAGAGACCATCTGTCTAGGAATAGAAACTCGAGTTATGACTGGAATTCAATTCAAGCTCCAACTGTGTGTCCCTTGGTGACACTGAAATTCACCTGTTCAAACCGTTGGAGGACGCGTTGCCAAGAAAACTGCCTCGACTTGACCCACCCGGCGTCGGACTTCGCTCTGGGGCGCTGGCCACAGCCCTGCGGCTCCGGCAACATGCACTGCTCCTGTGCAATCGGACCCCGCGAGATCCCATGAGAAATTGTACAAGAACCCCTTGATGGATGTGGACCTAGGGGATCGATTCCACCATCAAAATCACCCGAACAGTACTGGCGGCATTGCTTTATGTTCAAGACACCCCCACCAAAGTGAAGGCTGCTAAAAAGAGAAACAACCCCCAGACAGCTCGACTTTGATAACTTACAGACGCCAACATCATCGCTCGGGGAATCGAATCCTTGCTGGCCCCCCGTCATAGCTTTCACCATGGCTTCCCCTCCACATAGCGTTCAGGGCACCCAGAGTTCAGGGCATTGCTATAGAGAGAAGTGCCAAGCCTGGGGGAAAATCCCATTAATCCCACCGTCAAACACACACACAGATGAGAGAAGTGAGACGGAACCAGTGGGTTCCCACGCCTGCAAACTTGTTGTACCTTTGGGATGGCCAAAGAAATGGAAGCAAAAGAGAGTGAGCGAGAGCGAGAGCCGGAAACAATCCAGGAGAGGATCGTCCATGAAGAATGCGCCAAGCCCAGGCGGTATCCCCAACAGCCCCGGATGGCACCGCATCTCCTTTTGAACCCTCCCAAGCTGCGGAGCCTGTCTGGGCCCAAACCCATAGCTTTTAGCCCCGCCTGCGAGGGCCGGGACTTCCACCAGTCCTCAAAGCCACGGATTGCAGGTAACAAGCAGGTCACCGCAGGCAACGCCTGGCTTTTAGGGTCGATATGCAAAAAACACCACCGGTGAAGAACCAAAAGGGCGGCCTCTGCCGCATCTATTTGGCTGGGACTATCCCCTAAGCTTCAAGACCTGGGTTTTGAGAACGTGTCTCAATGCATAGCGATAGTGCAACCCCCGGACCCGCCTCGAGATGTATGCAAGTATGGCTGGTGAATCTTCGAAACCGGAAAGCGTTCTCAGCCGATCATTGAACCACAAAAACGAAACCGAAACAGCATATGCCAAAACAATAATCACACCAAAACCAATCAAAACAAACCAAAACCAGCCAAAACAAGCCAAAAACAAACCCATTCAACACCAAAACAAACAATTCAAAACCCAAACCAAAAGCCCACGGCAGCACACCGGACGAATGCAGGCCGTGAGCGAGAAATCCTTTGGGCCCGGCCGCGCCGGCGCCGGCGCCGGCGCCAGCCGGCGGCGCCGCTTCCAGCTCTGTGGCCTAGCGGTGAGCGAACCGCTCTGGTGGGGTGGCTCAGTCCACCCACCAGCTGCTTCGCAGAAAATGCGCAGAACAAATAATAATAATAATAATAATAATAATAATAATAATAATAATAATAATAATAATACTAATAATACTAATAATATTAAAAATAATAAAATAAAAAAACAAATAAAAATGAAAAAAAGCTGAATAGAAAACAAAACCCAAGCTTTTCAGGAGGCCTCAGTCTGGGTTCCTAGAAACCTCCCGTGTTGGGCTTTCTACAGCGCTGGTAGCAACCTGAGAAACTGCTTCCTAGCAAAACCCCAACCTTTTGAGGAAGCTCCCCACTCGTTATTAACATGGTCTACCCAGAACCAGGTTACAGAGATTCGAGAAGGCCGCACCGATTTGTGGCTGGGAGGATCCCTGCAAACCTTCATCTGCACGGGTTTTGACCGTGGCTCAGATGATTACCTTCAAACCAGGAATGGAGAAAGGAGGTATTTGTTTTTGGACTGCTAAACTTGCTTTTTCCTCGTAACAGTAGATGGGAACTTGGGTTTCCCTTCAGGCACCTCGAAAAGCACACTGCCAAAACGAAACTGCTGCCTCTAAATTTGGTGATCTAACTGGAATCTAACAAATGGGTTGGTCACACTCGTTCTTGCCCTTTGGTGCAAGATGGAGCCCGCTTGTTGGAGCCTGTTTACCGTCCGCTGAAAACTGGCAACCAAAAGGTCATGGTCCTTCAAGGAACTATGTATGTGAATGAATGGGAAGCCCCCACGAAAAATAAAAATAAAAATAAAATAAAATAAAACAGGAGGGTTGATGCGCAAGTGTTGATCATCCGACAAAAAACGGCTCACCCCCAACCACTCAAAGGAGGCATTGTCACGGTGCTCACAACCTAGCTTTGCTCTTCAGGATTCGAGCTGCATTCGAATGTGCTGCTCCCCACCTGCACATCCAGTTTGGCCGGAAAAACACGTCATAAATGGTGACAAGCCAAATAAACAAAGTTTTACTACTAAGATGTATTCATGTTTGGTTAATTAACAATATCATTGCACAGTTTCAATATCTATTGATTTGAAACAAACTCCAATTGCCACCAAGTCCCCCAGCCTCCGCACCTTACCCACGACGAATCTGAGCCCGTGGCCGGGGTGGCTTTCGTGGGCTCCAGGATCAGGTCGGAGGGCTGATAGTTGGAGCAGCAGTCCAAGGTCGCCTGGAGCTCGGTGCGGAAAAAAGCACCGAAAACCCGTGCGGAAAAAGCCGGGAAAAAAACCCCCTCTCTCCTCTTCCTCTTGGATCTCCTCTTCCTCTTGGATCTCCTTTCTCTTCCTACTGCTGAAAACAAAAGAGGCCGTTTCAATGACCGTTTAAATCAGCGGAAGAAGGGTCCGGCTGTGGAAGTGAAGGGTCTGAACATGGCCAGCGCAGTTTGGACGGCCCGACTCCAAACATCGGCTTGTACACCGCAACTCTTTGTGCGCGGACAAGGCAACTCGGTTTGCAGCAATCCCCACATCTCCCCTTGGAACTCCACCCCAATAGAAACATGTGGCTGTGGGTCAAAACCCTGTACCCCTGGTGAACATCAAAATAGGTGGCAAATGGATGTTCATCCACCCCAACCCGGAGCCATAGGTTCTGCCCCAATAGAAACATGTGACGTGGCTTATGGCTCCCCACCCAGGCTGGGCCCGGGTCCAGGAATCGAAGCTTTGCTGAGGGCCCTGCCCCGGCGGGATTCGGGCAGCAGTCCCCAGCCAACCTGCGAGCCGTGATCTATTCCCTGTACCATAAGGCCCTATAATGAACAAGTGGAGAGAGGTTGTTGGGTATGTCTCCAAACCAACTCAAGTCATGATCATACGAATATAGTCAGTCTCTCATTATTTGGCCCCTTGTCATCTAGTGAGCAAAGCAGATTCCCAAGTGTCAAACAAACACAGAAAGCATGGAGGCAATCTTAAGGCACCACATGCTGAATGAGCAGAATTGTGTTTCCTCTAGCTTGATCAAATGCAGACCATGTCAATCGCAAGGGGTTCCCGGAGTCGCTGAAGGCCATTTGCAATCCGTCAACTCGGTATTTGATGGAATGGTTCATGAGCCGAAAGGGAAAAGCGCAATAAGGGCAGTTCCATTCGGCACTCACTGATCCCGCTCAACATGCTCAGTAGAAGCAATGCAAATGATGTCCACAGGGTCCATAACTTGCCTCATAAATGAAATACATGCGCAACACTCCATGCCATGCTGAGACCACTGGAGAAAAAAAAAGTCTCCCAAATCCGCCCCCGCAAAAAAGCAACAAAAAGTACCCCCTCGCCCCCAGGAAGGCGAAAAAGCCCCAAGGCCCCCGAGGCCAGCGCTTCAGGCCGGCGCACTTGGGATGGCTGGAGCAGCTGGCGGCGGTGTCCGAAATCACCTGCCGAGGCGGTTCGACTTGAGCGAGGCGAAAGCCGCCGCCCCTCTGGCCGCCTGCCGAACACCCTGCCTCAGAATCAATTATCGGCAGTCCAAAGGAATGCTGCACCCATTTATTGGGAGTATCCCGTATACCAATCTTCAATCGCGGTCTTGATTGCGGCTCAGCTGAACATAGGGGGAACACACACGCGCACTCACAGACCAGGAAAGATTTCGAACCGCTTGGGGCCCTCTGTGAACCAGCGAGTTGCAAAATGTTGCTGCCTCGAAGGGCCTGAGCTTCCCCAATCACGCCAGGTGTCTTGCACCTTGCCCAGTGTGCTCCTTGGACATACTGGACCAATGCGTGGCTTCCCCATTCCAAGGATTCCTCCTGGAGGTACCCGTCCACCGAAGAACCCAGCAGAGGCTCAATTTTCTCGTCGAAACTTGGTCTTCCGAAAGCGCCAGCCCACGAGCCCACGAGCCCACGCGCCTGCCCCGAGCCAGACAGGGGCGGGGCAGCCGCCTGAGCTGTGAGCGCGCGACGGGCGGCTTCCAGCACACATCCGGGGGGTAGTTGTTTCACCAGAACTCGGGGCTCAAATCCCCAAACCCCCATCCAAAACCACCAATTGAGCGCAACCTGAATCCGGGGGTACACAGAAAACAAGATGTTCAGATTCTGCGTCTTTTTTGAGCAATCAAAGAAGGGGCTCCCACTTTTTGGACACTCCCGGATGGTTTGCCCACTTGAGGCAGGCAACCGGGATTTGTTTTTGCAAGCCTTTTGAATCCACCAATGGAGAGGGATCCGGGGAAGGAGGCAACCTTCATGAATCCTGCGCTTTCTCATGGCGATCTGGGGCCTTCACGCATGGCTTCTCGCGGCGGAAGGCTACAAGTTAGTCCGACTGCCCCTGCAAATGCGTGCTCCGACTCGTGCCGGGCTGTAACACTCATTGTTCCCGCAAAGTGTGTGTTGCCGCAAAGGGGAAAAACCTCACTCGCCCGACCAACCAACCAACCAACCAGCCAGCCAGCCAGCCAGCCAACCAACCAACAACCGACCGACCGACCAACCAAGCAAACAACCAACCAACCAACCAAACAGGCAGGAAAGCTAGGCAATCCACCCACACACACACACACACCCTCCCAGCCTCCCAGCCTCCCAGCCCCCCAGCCCCCCAGCCCCCCAGCCCCAACCCATCCCCAAGGCACCGGCGCCCAGGGTTTCCTGCAAGGGATCCGGCGCAGTGACGCGCACTCCAGCCTTCACCTCAGAAAAACGCGAGTGGCGTGGAGCGGAGCGTTTTTTGTCCAGACGGAAAGGAACGGATTCACTCTTTCAGCTGTTGACCCCATATGAATCAACCCCAGTTTATGAGTGGGGTGTCCCCGGGTTGAGTGGGGAATGGGAGGGGAACACCCCCCATTAATAAAATGGGGTTCATTTGTGAACAACGATCCATCAGCATATCCAACCAAAAGGTACAGTCGGCAGAAATTGGGGGGGAAATTCAACCAGGAAAAGGTTGGGCCACAATTGGAATTTGGGGGGTCTATGGGCTACCTGATGGTTACTCACTCTATTACGAAAGCGGGGAACTGCCTACCCCAAAATGGCGTCTGGAAATTCCCCGAGCTTCCCAAAGAACATGGAAGAGAACAACAAGGCTAGGAAGGGACTGAGGGCCAGCGGAAATCCCTGGTGAAGGACCAACATGGCTTGATGCTTGCCGCTTCCATTTTCTGGCAGCTGCCATGAAAGTCTTGAGGGCGTGGTAGTTTCAACAAGTTGCTTTGAGCTTCTATACCCTCTTATGGAATCCCGCAGTTCCTTGGAGTTCCCTAGAGTTTGTTTGGTTCCTCGACGAGCCTCGAGGAAATGCCCTTAAACCACGCCCCAGGATTGCATACTCTTCACAAAGGAAGTCGGGAGGGTTTGGGACGACCGCTCGGAAGGCCTTCTGTTCAGTTCCATGGAAAGGTGCCACCCACAACCTACCTTTCGGCAAACCAAAAGGTTCAATGCTCAAACAGCTGGTTGACCCAACCCAATGCGAATCGCACTCACAGCAGGAAACAAATGTGCCAGTCCAGCCAATGCAGCAACTTGTCAATGACGGGTCAATCAAAAAAAGAATTTTGTCATTGTGTCACCCCTACTGATTTGGAAGGGCGGGGGGTCCATCCTCGTTCACAAGAACGTGTCACTTGTTTCGGGCTGCACTATCCCATCTCGATCGCGGACCATGTTGGTTGATGAGGTGTGCATTCGAAAGCAACGAAGGGATAGCCTCAATGGCTTCTTGAAGTCGCCTCTACCAACCGGCTTCCTTTCAGTGGGAAAAGCGCGGAAACCCTTCCCCAAAACTCGAAAGCTTCCAACCCAGCTAGAACCCTGGGAAAACTGGCGAAAACCGTCCGTGGTCTTTGTGGGGCTTGCCAGGAAAACACCAAGCCCTCCTCAACAAGCGTCTGTCAGCATCTGGAAATCAAACAAAGCTTGGGGACAAAAACATGTCGTGCTATGTCGCAATTAGGGGTTGAATCACGCAACCCTGGTGTCCTACTTGCCCGAGGAGGGCCCGAGGGCCCCCGAGGGCCCCCTGGCGGTAGCGGCCGGCACGCACTGGGAGAAGTCCGCACTCACCACCTTTGCGCGGCTTTGGAGGCAGCCCGGAGGTGACAAACCGAACCAGACCAAGCAAAACTCACCAAACCGAGCCAAACCAAGCAACCGAACCAACACAGCAAACCAAAATTCAAGCAAACGCCAAGCCCCTTGGCTCAACCCTCCCTGAAAAGAAAAGACGCACCTTGGCCACCCCAAACCCGCCCATGGCCTCCAAGCGCCTCGTGACGAGGAAAGGGGTGGGCCCAACCCCCTGACCCAACCGGGAAATCAGGGACTTGAGACTTCAGTTGGGCCCATTTCAAGTGAGAAGAAGGAAGCGAAGCGTTTTGTGAGGAATCTTTGTTTAGGATGATGCTCACAAGACTCTTGCCGTCAAACCAACCCAAACAGGGTACACGAAATGACACATCCACCTGATACAGTTGCGTCCTCGTGCAGTATGGTTCGTCAGAGTTGTGGGTCCACAGACCGTTGCTTGGCAAACGCTCGGCGATGTTCCCAGGGAGTGTCCAAAAAGAAAACTGGGTCCCGCTTTTGGAGTCGAAAAGGAGACCTGAACAAAGGATCTTGCAGAGAGCGTGTGGGATACCCCAAAGAAACAACCGAATTCGTCCTTGGAAAGCCCACGCATCCCAGCAAAATCCGACCCCTCCATCCCTTCGGGCCGCCCGCGTTGCAGACCGCGCCCACCTCCCGAGAAGTGGCAAAAATATTGGTGCGTGATTCTTCGGGGGAGTTGTTCAGGTTGGCAAAAAGGGAAACCACAAGGAAAACGTCCAACTACCATTTTTGTGGCCCCCTTGTGCTTGCCATCTCGTTTCTCTCATGGCCGCTGGTCCTGGCTTCTTCGCGTGTCTCGCTCGAAGCCTTCGGTCTACTTGTTATGCCCTCGAAGATCCAACGATGCCGCTACAGGATCCAACCAATCAAAATTAAAGCAATCTTTTGCCTGGAGCATTGTGAGACCATGGGTGTCCTTCGTGTTGTTGTTTTTGGCTGAATAGCGGGTCGCGCGTTTTTCTCACTTGGGTGCGTCTTAACTATTTTGTATGGTTGATTCAAAAAGGAAACCCCTCCAAAGAAAAGGGGAAGAAAGGGCACCTGGTCTGGGGGAACGGTGTCATGTGCTGCCCGGAGGCGGGCTTCCACAGCTGATCGCCACCGAGACATCCCGGATGCCCATGCAGACCACGTCCCGGAAAAATCCGCCGAAGCCCATCTCACAGGTGAGCGTGGATGAGCCAAAGCGAGTCCGCACCAGGTGGGATTTTACGAATTTCGAGGAAGGTGGGAATCGCCCACACAGTGCGAAGTGGATTTCGTCCATCCACTTGCATCCCATAGAGGCTGCCTAGGATTGACTGCGACTTGTGACGCCAACACGACGACCATTCCGGCCGTGTTGTATATAGCTGTGGCTGTGGCTCAAAAAGCCGATACCAAAATGGAACCCTGGTAAGAGGAAGCATGGACCAAAACCTGCGTAACCCCTCCTGTTTAATTTTGAGCCACACCCCTGTGTCTTGAATCTGACATGCCTGTTCACAAGGGAAATCAACTGGAAACCACCCATGACCTTCCGGCCCGCCAAATCCCCCACCGAGTCCCGCACTACTTGCCGCCTTCCCCGGCCAACGGAAACCCAATTCCAACATGGCCCAACCGGTGCGATTTGCTGAACCAAGGGAAATATCAGGAAACCCCAGGCCAAAACATAGGAACACAGCCACGGCCACTTATCATTGTGTATATATATATATACATGCATACTAATACATTTATGTATATGTTTGGGTCAACATAATTTTCCCCAGTGTAGACCGTTTCTGCAAACCAAAGCACCCATGGAACATCTGGCAGGCACCTCGCAGATGGTGTAGCCCTTCCAGCCCGTTCCGCCGCACTGGCCGTACCTAAGCCGCGTTTGTTTCGAGGACCCTTTGGTGGACGTTCAGATGGAGAGATACGCCCACCCTTCTGAGGCGGCTTCCCTGGCAAAAAGTCATATCTGACACGAAAAGGGGGGTTTGTCTTATGGGATCTGAGTGGTCAAAAGGTAGGGGAATGAGGTGAGAGGACATCCGAGAAAACATCTGGTGGACCCCCTCACAAATCTGGGGACCGGCAAAAAAAAAGCTCGACAAATCTGTGAGCTCCACTGGGACAGTTCAAATGGGCGATTTGCCACCGGCAGCTAAGAGAGTTCCTCTGCCAAACGGCGGAGAAAGTGAGTTCCGTTAGGAAACAGGTGATTTACACTGGTAAAGCAGCTGGGCAGCACCCAAAACCTCTTGTCTTTTGGTTCTGCCAACGTGGCTACAAAGGTTTGTATAGACCTTACTACAACCCGCGTGAAGCTAGGTAGTAGGCCCGCAGACCTACCTACGGTTGTTGTTGATGTCGGTGAATACGCAGCGAAGGAATTATTTGTCCATCGTGTCCGCGCAGTGCAAGGAGGCTAGACTGTGAAAAGCCGCTTTGCGAGCTTTAAAACCTGCGAGATGCTCAGCAAAGAGGGCTACAGGGTAAAACAATCAGTGCGCGATAGCTTCTGGCTCGGCTTACAATCAATTTACATGTGTAACTTCTCCGCTGCGTACTTGGCAAAGGCGGACAGACGAAGGCCGGACTTGTGCCCGGTCAGCTTCCATGTTCTCACTGCCCACTCCGTGTACCTCGGGTCATGTTCAATGACCCAGTCCATGGCTTGATCCCGATACGAACCAAAGCCCATCTTCATAGTCACCTCAGAGTTTCCGAGAATCCATTTGGCAGCAACCTTCATACGTTCTTCGCAATCATTCTTGGTGTTGTAGGTGTCCACAACCCATCTGCAGTAATCTGCATCTTGGCGAAGCACTGTGTCAATCGAAAGGTTCCGGTATTTGCCGAAGCCCATTCTGGGCACATTGGGCGCTGGCGGCTGAGCTTTGCACCTTTTGCGCCACAAGAGTGCCTCTTTCGCAGTCACCAACACCTGGAACTGGGCCTTGGCCGTGGCATCTCCCGGATTTTTATCCGGGTGGACTTCCAAGCTTCGCTTTCGAAACGCGCGCTCGATGTCTGAGGCGGAAGCTTCCGATCCCACTCCCAGGACTTCAAAGGGCCAGAGGTCCATCAGCTGACTATGCGGACGCCATGCGCCAATGGTCTCTTCAATGCATGTCTCGGAACAAAAAACGAAAGTAGAGAGCGATTCCATGATACTCCAAAAGGTTTCGTTGCCTTTGTTGTGCTGTTTTTTCAAGTCTTGCTACGCGTCTTCCACTCAAACGCGCCCATGTGCATCTCCATTCACGAGCCAGAAGGTCTTCATACCAAGAAGCGCTTCTGATTCACAACATGTTTTGATCAGGAAGGAATCCAGAGCTTCTGCAGCTGGGGTTACCTCAGGAGTTGAAGCTTCTCCGGAAAGTGATGTGGAAATTCATGCCAAAGGATCGATTCCGCCCTTGCTGGTGTACAGAATCACATGTTTCGACTCCCCACAAAAGAGATGTGGTTTGGCTGTCTCGGCCGAAGACATGGTTCGACCCAATGTGCTAATAACCAGTCAAAGATTGATAAGTTGAGTCGAGGGCAGGTTTCCCTCGCATTGTTGGATCCCAAACTGTGCTTTGCTCTCGTTTTGGCAGGCCAGTGCGTGTTTTCGAGGGGAAACCAGAGGAAAAACAGAGGAAAGCCAGAGGGAAACCAAAGGAAAACCACAGGGGAACCACCCGTTTTTAGCTCTCGGAGCTTTTGAGACCTGGCGCCCAAAGTTGGGGCTCCCGGCATCGCTTGCACACCCGCCTGTCTAGTGAACTTGGTAGGTTTGGAGGGAATCCAAAGGAACACCACCATTCGGGTTCTGGGGGTCAGCACAACTCGAGTGCCAAGAACCAGACGCCGTCTTTGGTGCCCCAACGTTGTGCGACAAACAGGCTCTTTGTAGGGAATCCGGGAATGACCGCCCCAGCCATTCCCCACAAAACCCCAGTGGTACGGTGAAGGGTCATGTCCAAGTTCCCTGAGAACAAGCAAGGTACGCCTGCTGAAACGGAAGTCTTACTAACCAGGGCGTTGGGTTAAGCTCCTTTAAAGAAGAGGGCCGCGAAGGAGGACAGCAGGGCTCACCTGCCAAACAACATCCCCTAGTAAGAGGCCCAAGGTCTGGTTGCTTAATCCGAGCTTGCAACCAACCCTGATTTTCACCTGAGCCCTTGGTGATTTGGATGGTTTGGAGGTTAGGGTGCAGCTTCCCAGAAAGCCCTCCAGCTAACAGGCCTCAAATCCCCGGCTCTCGCCACCCACCAAACAATTGAAAAAGCGGATATCCGCATCTGGTTGTGGTTCTAACCTTCATTTTGGTCAATAATTAACAGACCAAAACAAGCACCTTCTGAAAGAACCCTCATATGTGACGTTGCAACCCCCACCCCCATTTCCGGTGCCGAGACTTGCTCAGTTCATTTGGGCGCATTTGGGCGCATTTGGGCTTGTTTCCGTCCATTTGTGGGGTTCCCTATTTTGAGACACACAAACATCGAGGCTTTGAGTTTGCGACTCCCGGCCTGGGGCGAAGGCCCGCCCGCCTGCAACCATCCAACCAAATGAACACAAGTGGATCCGCTGATTTGGAAGGCACGCGAAGGCTGGGATCATCTTTCTCTTCTTACACTTAAGTCACTTATACTTGAAACAAAAACCGTCTGGAAATCCACAGGTTCCGGCGATTTGGAGGCGGTCCCTTCTCTTTTTTTTGGCCGCCGGAGGGCTTCGAGAAAGGGATTCGCTCACACGAAAACGGGCAAAAAGACCCCGAAGAAGCCAAGGGGAAAAACGCCGAAGTGGCCTTGATCCGAATCTTCGGCAAAGCGCATTCCGCCGCTAAAGGCGGGCTTCCAAGAACTGCTGGCAGCGAAAAAATGCGACGAAACAAGAGGCAAAGGGGATCAAAGGCGCTTCTTGTCACCCATGCGGAGTTCTCGAATCCTGTCACGCACCCAAACGCACAAGTACCCAACAAAGAGAGCAAACAAAAAAGAGACATTCAGCATGAAAAAAGGAGGAACTGAGCTTTTGCGGTCTCCCTGCCTTCCCTGCTGTCGCATTCTTGCAGGAGGCCACGCGGGCAAGTTCCGGAGTCTCAGGGCGGTGCCGGTCCGACGACTCCTTTCCAAGTTTTTGGCAGGCTGACCAGTGGCAAATCCTGGGGCTCTATTGACGGCCGAGGGCATCTTTTGGTTGGGGAATTCTTGTGGGACCCGTTAAAGAAACGTGATACAGCACCCAAGCCGAAAGAACTTCTCGTCTCTCTCGAGGCCACCAAAAGCTGCTCGTTTTCGGAGTTCAACTTAGTGACGGGTCCCACAAATCCCACAAAATCACAGGGTTGTCTTTGGAACTAGAGACAAATAATGTGAAGTGCCGATGTAGAAGACCCCACATAGCACACAGTAACCGGGTTGTCTTTAAAAGCCTTGGACCAATGGTATTTGGAAGCTTGAAATGCGGGATAAATGTGGCGACCCGGTGACTAAGGCCAGGACGGCATATCGCGTCACAAAGGCCTGAGCCAAGGATCGGAAGAATCCCCGCCCAGAAATATTTGAGGGAAAGATGAAGCTTGGGACTTGGTCAAGTTCGTCTCCAAACATCAATTGCAGTCAACTCAGTCCGGTCTTCATACGTTAGTCAGCATATAGTTGAGTCGGCCTAGTCTGCACCAAGCTTGGCATCATGTAGCCACATTGTGCTGAAGGTTGGGGGCTCCAAGCTTTGGTTTGGCTTGCCGGGACCTTCCTGCGACCTTCTTTTTCTTGGACTGGGGTCGACAGGCCAAAGTCGGCTATGTCCCCAAATGGAGGGGGCACCCACAACAAGGGTGGTTTGCCCGAGCTTTCCCTTTAAATACACCTGCAAAAAATAAGCCGCCGCGTTCACAAAAGGAGCCACGCCCTTTTGTCTCGAAACACCACTATCACCTGAAAATAGCAACCCAAAAGAAGGTCACGGAGTCTGAATACACCGCTTCTGGGTCTGTGTCAAAATAAGGGAGACCCCCCCAAAAAAAGAAGCGGATTTTCCTTTTGAAGTTTCCCATTTCAAAACATGATTATAGTTCATGGCAGAACAAGCATCGGGTATCCTTCGCCTCAAAAAACAAAACACGTCACGCACTTCTCCTCAACCCCCCCCCCCCAGGCCAGCCAGCCCCAGGCCGGGGTTCCGCACCAGTCCCTGGCCCTTCGCCAGGTAGTCGTAGGCTTCGCACAGCGCGTCGGGGTCCCGTGAGGTGCACGACCTGAGGCTGTCACTGGACCGACCTTGTCAGAACGGCAAAACGCGGAGGGGGAGGGGGGATCCAAACAAGCTTTGGACCCCGCATTCTGCACAAGAAATATGTAAGCGCTGGTCACTCTGAGATGAAATGCGCCAACCAAAGCGTGCTTTGTTACAACGGAGATTTGCCGCTACACCTCCAAGTGTGGAATGAACTGAATCCCAGACCTCTTCCCCAACAGCCCAACTGGAGCCGGTTCCCAGATTGCCCCAACATGATGGTTTCCTTCTGGTCTACTGGAAAAGGTGTTGTTTAACATCGAGAAATTGTAGCTTTTCACCAGGCTCTTCAAAACATCCAAACACCAACTGCTGTACAAGGGAATCCTCTGACTCTGAAATCAGCTCGTATTTGGGTGATGCTTTGATTGGCCCCAGCCGCATGTATCCTTTTTAAGGGAGCCCAACCAGCCCATTGCCCATTTCCTCGCCCTCCAGAAACCGCCCGGGCGCCGGGCGTGCCGCCGCACCACACGCAGGGCTGGCCCCTCACCTTGATGCCCCGGTAGTACTCCTCCCAACCTGCGTCTCGGCTGCCTCAGCAAAAAGCGAAGAAAAAGTCACCCCGTGAAAGCTTTCAGCGCCGAAGCTGCAAGGCGTTGGGGCGAAACAAAGTTGGGGTCTGATCAAGAAAACTCGGGAAGTCCTTGAAGACAGTTGATGCTGGAAATGGGCAGTTGATTGAAACTCCCTTAACTGGGCGAAGGAATGTGCATTCCTGATTTTGGCGCAAAGCGGACAGCGGCAACGGACGGGGTCTTCCAAACCTGTACGTGTGTGACCGCCCCCACCAAAAAGGCAGAAGGGCGAAACATCTGCAAAATCCATGATTTTCGGAGCTTGTCATGTTTGTGTTTAGTTTAGTATGTTTTGCGCGCGCCCACAATGGGGGTGTGTTTTGTGGTTCCCTCTAAACCAACACCAAAAAAGAGCACCCGTCGCCTTCAGAAAAAAAGCCCACACCCACACCAACGGGCTGTACTTGCGTTGCCGAGCTGGGGGTCAGCTGCCAACTTAATGTGTTCCGTGCATGGTGTTTGTTTTGCTAGCTTTATGGCATCCACAATTAAGATGGAACCCCAACAAGGAGCCGGTGTACCCTGTGGAACCCACGTGTCAAGTCGCCGGAACGTAATCCACATCGTACTCAGGGACATCCTGTCTAAACCGCCATTGTGCAAACAACATCCTTTTGGCTTTCTCTGCCGGCTGTTTCAAGCAAATTTGCCACCTCACTTCAGGGTTGCTCCGGAGACGCTTCCCCACAATTGGAAAGCTAGTGGTGCCTGAAACAAAAAAAAGCATACAACCCAAAATCAATCTGCTAAACGCGGTTTGGTCGTTGAGGTTCGGAGCAGCCCTCATCATGTCTCTTGCTTTCCCAGTGACTCGCAAAAAGCCTCAGTGTCCAAGATTCGAGACCCCCACTCAGGCACTGCTGCTGGTCCTTGATGCGCCTGCAACCAACTTCCTGGGCAGAAGGCGCGCAAAAACAACAGAACTTGCACTACTGGGCAACTAAGAAAATACAGGAGAGCAACTGACCATAGTGTTGGACATAGGGGGACAACCCAAAAATCCGAGGACACGAGAGCAGCTGACCATACTATACGTAGTCTGCCTTTGGTTTGGGGAGGACATGGAAAGGACAACCCAAGAACCAGATATCTTCAAATTAGACATATCCTCTTGGGGAACAATCAATTGCGTCGAAATCACATTGCTCAGCCATGGCATTTCCCTCAAAAACAAACGCGGGCCTTGGGTTGAAGGGGTGAACAGCAACCGCGCAACTCAAACATGGTCACAACAGGGCGACAGCTCATACCTAGCAACGGGGGGGGGGCACGCTGATGTCAAAATCAAGAGAAAAAAAGAAAAAGCACACATGCTCAGACCTTGCACTTCTTAATTTGACAGATCAAAAGAGTCAGCGACAGGGACACCCTCTTTCGCACGGATCACTGGAATTCCCCCTCCAAAGTTGTCCAATTGACTGGTGGTCTCCGTTGGAGCTCCACCCCGCCGGCTTAGGCACCCCCGCCACATCTTTCAGGCACTTCTGGTCCGCCTAGCTCCGGAATTCGCAGAAACACGGGCGGCGGGGATTCCGTTTCAACCCCCAACTAGTTTTCTGGGTATTTCTGGGTTGCCTATAAGTTCAAAGTTAACATGGAGGTCAAAACCTAGGAACCAGGGGTGAAGAAAATGTTGCTTCGGGCTGAATTGACGGAGGATCCTTGCTCTTGAGCAAACCCGAAGGCACAAAATGCCTCTTCTGGGCCCACGCCTCTGACGGCGGCGGCAAGGCCGCGGTGAACGCCGAGTTCAAGTCCTGCGCGTGCCACGCTCGAGCGAATGAATTCGGTGGGCCGGCTTATCTCAAATGAACATGGATGATTTTCACCTGAATTCTGTGGGGCTGGGCAAATGAACCTTGCGGAAAAAGGGACTTCAGGATCTGGTTCTTCGTACACGGGTTTGTCTTAAATACACAACCCAAAACAGGAATCTAAAGCAAGAAACGTGCGTGCAATAGGGTAGTCTCTAGAAATCACCAGCGCAAGCATGCACACGGTACTTTGGCCTTTCTGCTGACGACCACATTGCACCGCAAGGGAGGCACGAAACTGCAAAGGTTGCACGGGGTGTGTCTCAAAATAGGAACCCTTTTTGGGGCTGAATGTGCAGGGCAAAAGGGAAGCCCTGCTGCATCTTGGGGGCGGCCGATTCCTATCTCAAGCCTGGTGGACATGGGAACATCAGCACGTGAATTCCCCAGGGGCTCGTCCCCCTGGACGAGAAATGTTGGCCGAACCTCAGCCGCTCTCTTCGGGGGCTCGCTTGTTGTGCGCCAGGATACCAAAGGCTCATGTTCAACACCACCTCTAAGTAACGGTTGGAACCCTGCCATCCGCAAAACAACAAAAAAATGGAAGGACATCTGGATGTGGAGAAGGACCTCCCAAATTCTGGCTCCCATATAAAGGCTTCCTTACAAAGGGCTCCCTATAGACTCCTTCGAAAGAGAGCTCCTTATGATAAACACCTTTGTTATAGAACCTGAAGCCCTCTCCCAGCTCGGCCCGTGCCCTTTTCCGCCAAAGTCCCGCAAAACCGCGGCCTCGAACTTCTGCTGCGCCGCACATTCGCAGATCCCGTGCTGGTAGACCTGCGTGCCGTTGCGCTGCGGACGGGTCACCCAACCCGTGGGCGGACTTCAGGCGGACGTTTGGGGTAAGCCAAACAGCAAGGGAGGGCAAACCGATTTGGGGGTTGGAAATATGGGGCCCCCAACCGCGGCCAGTCATTGTCTTTGCCACAAGCAAAAGGGGAGCGGTTCAGTGAGGGGCAAACAAGTCCGTGGCACTTGTGCCACGCTATGTCCAGGAGAAATTCCAGTGGAATTTGTCAAGGGGATGACCATTCCTGCTAATCCCAAGTTTGAAAGGGCGTTTTGACCACAAACATTGCCATCCGTGCAAGTGAGCCACTCTGCGGGCCCGGATTGTTGGACCCTCTACCCACACCATCCGCCATGCTCAAAACTCAATATGTAGGGGATGTTGCATGGTTCCCAACCCCCACCCCGGCTCCCTCTCCCGCTAAATGAGTCGTGGCTCAAGCCATGTCTTCGACCATGGCGCTAGACAGCGACGCACCCAAAGACCCGCCTGGAATGCATAGTCGCAAGAGATCTGTTCTTTCCTGGCCGACATTTAGCTCCCGATATGTGGGTCGAGATTGACAAACGGGAACCTGCTGCAAGCTGATTCGATGCAATTGTCCAAACCATGATGGTTGCAAGTCCGTACACGTTCGACTCCTGCAGTGGAACAGACCATGTGCCAGCTGTAAGAGGGTCACCGAAAGTAAAGGGTGCTTCCCTCAAGGGCGGTTCCTTTGGGCGGTGCCGCAATGAGCCCATCTCGACAGGGACGACACCAAAAAAGAAAACCGCTCTGGTGCAAGGCCGTCAACATGGAGGTGGTTCTGCCCTGCGAACTGCGGAAGCAAACCTGCAGTTACCATAAAGGACATGAACCTTTTCCGACCTTTGGCAGTTGAGAGGTACCTTCTGTCCCCCCAGTGTCACTCCACAAAATGCACCACTTGGCATTTGTGCGCCAGGATCGACCAGCAAACCCACGCGGGGGCGCACACGTCGCAGCTATTGATGGAGCCCAGCGCCGCCGATTTGCATTGGAGGCCGCCTGGCTCCGAAAGCCATGTGCCAGGGCCATGAGGGCACGTGCGGGAGGATGGTTCGCTTCCCCGGTTTGGGGACCCTCAAAAACTGAAACCCTGCATTTTGGGAACCATGGTATGGCGAGTCGACGCCTCTTCTTCGGGTTTCTGGCCCCTAACCTCAGAGCCCCATGCTTTGGAGACCGATAGAAGGAAAGTGAAGCGAGGGAACTGAGCTCATAGCGGGAAGCACTCATGCTCGCTCTTGCTAATTATCAACATCGCTCCCAGTCACAGATTCAGAGGTTGGGAGATGCCTGGCGCGGACTGCTTGTCCCATTGCCCACATAGACGTAGAAGCAAAGAACTAGTCTCGCCGTCCTGACCCCCGAGTCCCCAACTTGGAGCCCAACCGAGACTTTTCGTGCGAGTAGTCATTTGAATCTGTTCAACCATCAGCAGGGCCTGGCGTTGCAGCGCGCTCAGTCGCCCAAGCTGACAGGCGGGTGTGAGCCACGGCTCACATGCATCGGCGTTAGCTCAAGTTCGGCGAAAGCGCTGGGCTTAATCTAGGGGTGTCGAAACAAGGGGTTTAGCCAGGAGATCCCAACAAACATGTCGCCGCTACGGGCTCGAACCGGCATCAAAACATCTCCCGCCTGATTAATTGAGCCAAAGCCTTTCCACGCGCAGCTATCTCAAGGAGAGCTGGTTCTTCGAATTCGAAAATTATGGGAAGACAAGGCCTGATACTCAGCCGACCAGGCTCCACTCGCCGTCATCCTCCTCCGTCCCCACAATATGCCAGGGAGAACTCTCCTCACTTGGACAAAGCGGGAAGCAGCAGGTTCACCTTTTTAAGACTCAAACTTTTGGGTGTCCCTTTTTGTAGGCAACGTTGTTTTTGAGCGAAAAACCGAAAGGAACACCACCATTTACGATATTTTATGTTTGCAGGCGGTCTCCCCACAGACACACCCAACTGGGCCGAGCTGTTGGGAAAGAACACGTCACCTGGGGAGATGTTGGGAAAACCAAAGAAAGAAATGTTTCGCCAAGGCTCCCAAAGCCCGGATGATTGCGCCTGTCTCTCACTGGTGGAGGACGCGCAAGCCTTCACTTGGGCGAGGCTTCTTTGAAGCCTGACTTGCCCAGAAGCTTCATGTTCAATGGCAAAAAAGGACACCACCTCCCTTTTTTCTGCTGGTTGATTTTCAAGAACAGAAAGCGGCCCACCCCAGAGCCGAAAACGAAACAGGGGCGCTCGGAACTTAAACACACAACGCATGGAAACCATGGAATAAGGTCCCAAAGTGCAAAAACACATTTGGTACCAAAAGCAAAAAAATAGAAATCAAGTCGGGAGACTCCTCGACCTCTGCCTGGACTTCCTTGGCCACGGCTTTGTAGCCGGCCAACGTTGTGTCATCCCCGCCGCGCTTCACGCGGCTCTGCAGCGCCAACAACTGGCGCTTCTTGGCCCGCAGGTCCTCCCGGAAGTGCCACCAACACCACCAGCAAACACGATAACACGATGGTACCGGGTGCTTCCCCCAACATCCGGCTCCCTTATGAGATCCTCTAACAGAATGGATACAAATGGCAGGTGAAACCCTTTGTCCTTGAAAGGATCGTACGGAAGGACGGGCGCCGTCCGCGGGTCGTAGTCATCCTGCGCTTGCGTCGGGAAACCAGTTCCTCCCCTCTCTTCTCAAGGATACCCTGGAGCCAACAACCTGTCAACCGATACTGGTCCTACATGTTTGCCTCACGAGAAGAATTCATCAAAGAACTCCCTCACCTTCAAACCTTCAGACGCCCTCTGGTCCTTGTCTGGGTTGTAGACGGCCGGGCGCGGATGCGCTCCACGCCGGGCCTCCAAGAAGAGGCTGGCTGCCTCTTGACGCGTCTCTTGAAGCAACGCTCTCGAGTCCTGGCCGCGAACCCTCAACGAGACACCCGCTCCTTCATGTGTTCAAAGGAAGGCCAACAAGCTGCTGAAACTACAGTAGTCCAGGCCGCTATGTACCGGGCAACTATATGTATGTGTGTATGTGTAGATATATACATATATATTATTTACATGTGTGCATATCACAAGGTATGCCAAAGGAGTGGCACATGTCTTCAACAAGCCGCTAAGCCGCTTCAAGCCCGGTCCTGGCTCACCTGCTTCACCTGCTTGACCAAGCTGCGCAGCAAGGCCATGGCGAGCTGAATGCTATGGTTCTGAAGCTTTGACTCGAGCCTCGACATGGGAAGCATCTCTCATGCTCGGCCTTTGACTCACGCTCGCCCTTTCTCCCTTTCTCCCCCTCCCAGATCCGACATGGCGCTTAATGACACGTCGCAATGACGCAAGCGGAGAGCACGGATTGCTCCCGTTTCCGAGAGCAGGGCATTGCTCTGAGTTGGTACTTGGGGCGCCAAAAATATATTGCTCCTGACAGTCACAGATTCAGCGGCAGAGGTTGCTAGATGCCACTTGGAGCCCAACCGAGACTTTTCGCGCGAGAAGTCATTTGAATCTACAGGTTCAACCATCAGCAGGGCCTGGCGTTGCAGCACGCTCAGTCGCCCGAGCTGACGACCGGGCGTGAGCCGCGGCTCACATGCATCGACGTTAGCTCAAGTTCGGCAAATGCGCTGGGCTTAATCCAGAGGTATCGAAACAAGAGTTTTAGCCAGGAGATCCCGACAAACATGTCACATCATGTTGCCGCTACAGGCTCAAACTGGAAAAACAGAACCTGCGTGCACAAATACCCACTACTTAGGGCATTTGGAGAACGAATGGTCTGACCATGGCCAGCTTCAGTTTGCTGGTGTCCCCACAAGCGCAGCTGTCTCAAGGAGAGCTGGTTCTTCGAATTCGAAAAACCCTGGAAGACAAGGCCTGGCGCTCAGTCTATATGTTCAACCATCAGCAGGGGCCTGGCGTTGCAGCGCGCTCAGTCGCCCGAGCTGACGACCGGGCGCGAGCCGCGGCTCACATGCATCGACAATAGCTCAATTTCGGCAAACGCGCTGGGCTTAATCTGCCGGGAGATCCCAACAACCATGTAGCATCATGTCGCCGCTACGGGCTCAAACCGGCATCAAAACACAAATCCCCCCTGCTTAGAGCAATTGGATAACGAATGGTCTAACCAGCTTCAGTTTGCTGGTGCTCCTAAATCGAGCCAAAGCCGTTCCACACACAGCTGTCTCAAGGAGAGCCGGTTCTGCGAATTCGAACATTCTGGGAAGACAGGGCCTCATACTCAGCCAACCAAGCTCCACTCGCCGTCATCCTCCTCCGTCCCCACAATATGCCAGGGAGAATTCTCCTCACTTGGACAAAGCGGGAAGCAGCAGCAGGTTCACCTTTTTAAGACTCAAACTTTGGGTGTCCCTTTTTGTAGGCAACGTTGTTTTTGAGCGAAAAAAAACGGGAAAAAAGGAGAGAAACAAAAACAAAAAAATACTTTTTTTTTATGTTTACAGGAGGTCTCCCCAAAGACACACCCAACTGGGCCGAGCTGTCGGGAAAGAACACGTCACACTGTCACACCTGGGGAGATTTTGGGAAAACCAAAGAAAGAAATGTTTCGCCAAGGCTCCCAAAGCCCGGATGCTTGCGCCTGTCTCTCACTGGTGGAGGACGCGCAAGCCTTCACTTGGGCGAGGCTTCTTTGAAGCCTGACTTGCCCAGAAGCTTCAGGTTCAATGGCAAGAAAGGACACCACCTCCCTTTTTTCTGCTGGTTGATTTTCAAGAACCGAAAGCGGCCCACCCCAGAGCCGAAAACGAAACAGGGGCGCTCGGAACTTAAACACACAACGCATGGAAACCATGGAATAAGGTCCCAAAGTGCAAAAACACATTTGGTACCAAAAGCAAAAAAAAAGAAAGCAAGTCGGGAGACTCCTCGACCTCTGCCTGGACTTCCTTGGCCACGGCTTTGTAGCCGGCCAACGTTGTGTCATCTCCGCCGCGCTTCACGCGGCTCTGCAGCGCCAACAACTGGCGCTTCTTGGCCCGCAGGTCCTCCCGGAAGCCACCAACACCACCAGCAAACACGATAACACGATGGTACCGGGTGCTTCCCCCAACCTCCGGCTCCCTTATGAGATCCTCTAACAGAATGGATACAAATGGCAGGTGAAACCCTTTGTCCTTGAAAGGATCGTACGGAAGGACGGGCGCCGTCCGCGGGTCGTAGTCATCCTGCGCTTGCGTCGGGAAACCAGTTCCTCCCCTCTCTTCTCAAGGATACCCTGGAGCCAACAACCTGTCAACCGATACTGGTCCTACATGTTTGCCTCACGAGAAGAATTCATCAAAGAACTCCCTCACCTTCAAACCTTCAGACGCCCTCTGGTCCTTGTCTGGGTTGTACCGCTTGTGGACGGCCGGGCGCGGATGCGCTCCACGCCGGGCCTCCAAGAAGAGGCTGGCTGCCTCTTGACGCGTCTCTTGAAGCAACGCTCTCGAGTCCTGGCCGCGAACCCTCAACGAGACACCTGCTCCTTCATGTGTTCAAAGGAAGGCCAACAAGCTGCTGAAACTACAGTAGTCCAGGCCGCTATGTACCGGGCAACTATATGTATGTGTGTATGTGTAGATATATATATATAGATATATATTATTTACATGTGTGCATATCACAAGGTATGCCAAAGGAGTGGCACATGTCTTCAACAAGCCGCTAAGCCGCTTCAAGCCCGGTCCTGGCTCACCTGCTTCACCTGCTTGACCAAGCTGCGCAGCAAGGCCATGGCGAGCTGAATGCTATGGTTCTGAAGCTTTGACTCGAGCCTCGACATGGGAAGCATCTCTCATGCTCGGCCTTTGACTCACGCTCGCCCTTTCTCCCTTTCTCCCCCTCCCAGATCCGACATGCCGCTCATCCCCATCTGGGTGTGTCACAATAGTTGGGTCGCTTTCCCCTTCAAGCCAACCCACAACCCTTGCACAAAGACACCCATCGTGAGGGTTCCAACAAAGTGATTGACCTCGGAACAGCCCTTAGCCTCCGTGGCTCTAGATCGAACGCCACGGACCATCCTCAGCGAATGGGCATGTCTTCCTTTTTTGGGCAGGCTGGTTGGGGCACCAGACCCAAGGAATTCAAGCTCTGAATTCCCGAGATTTGGGAACCCCGTGTTGCACCGAACGCCACTCCCTATCCATCCACATGCCTTGCTTCTCACAGTACTCCGCACAGCTGTGGAACTTCTCCTGTCCAGAAAACCCATCGATCCAGGTGAGAAAACAAATCCGCGGCAAGATTCAGGAACCCTTTTGGTGGTCCAAAGAGCTGACTTACCACTATTGAAGTTGTATTAATTGGTTGGACCCTCGGAGAAAATCCACTCATTTGGAAGGCTACTCTCCATTGAAAAAAAAAAACTCGTCATCCTGCAGTCAGGCAGTCAGGAATCCGCCCTGGGCAAACGGTGTCTCAGGTCAAACCATGAAGCCCAACCCAGGTGCCTCCCAAAATATGGGACCGCCCAATTCAATTGTTGCTTTCCTTTCCGCTTGCTCTTGAAGGCAAGGATTGCTGACGGATGGTCTCACAAGCGTTTCAGCCTTCCCAACCATCCACAATAGGGCGCTCCCACCAGCGCAGCCTTTCGGTTTCCTCTGGAAAAAGAATTCGAGAAACCAATAAGGGGGGTCCGATTGACCATCAAAATGGACCTTGCAATATGCTGGGGGTCCGATTAACCACCAAATTTAACCAACAATGAGTGCCCTTCTTTTAGGGGACCCCCTTTTTTGGTGCTTTTAAACCCAAATCCAAAAAGAAAACCCGTGGGGGCATTTGGTGGGATCCCTCAACAAAAAAAAAAGGCACACGGAGCCACCCGTATTTGGACCACCCGCCCCCGCCCCCGCCCCCCCCCCCCCCCCGTTTCCCCCGTTTCCCAGCCCGACTGTGCCAGATCGAAGTCCAGGGCCCCCGGCGTTGAGGCTGGGCACCAGGGTCTTGCAAAAGCCGCAGCGCGCGCCTCGGAGACCCGACGCCCCACTTGGCTGCGGGCGAGGGGTGGGGGAGAGTGGGGGATCCCGGGCAGGGATCCATTTCATGGGGGGAAACGGATGGGCGCCAACTTGTTTGGGCGCACGAGTTCCAAGGGAAAGTTTGAAATCCCTTCCAAAAATTGCGGCAAAGGGGCATGAGGGTGTATGAACATAGTGCATGGGGGGGTCATTCCTTCATTCACTGACAACATAGCAAAAGGAATGCCCTTTTTGCCTTCCGAGTTCCTTCCCGTCATATACAATCCCAACCTCGTAGCAAACAATATGTAAAAAATCAAAGGGCGTGTATGGTTGGGACAGTCCCTTACTGACCTTCACTTACCTTGGGCTTGCATTGTGTCTCAACTGTCCGCGGCTGGAAGTGATCCAGTTGATCAAATCTGAAGGGCAAACCCCTCCAAACAAAGACAAAAAAGAGGTTGCTAAGCAAGAAGAAATGGTTGAACACCCCTCCCAAAAAAGGATATGACAAAAATGAAGGCACTGGGCGTCTGAGTTTGTTGCCCTGGCTCTATATCGCATCCGAGGCGAAGGCCGACCTTGTCCCACACCGGCCAGGGCTTGCCGCAGTCGACCTGAAGCGCTGGGAACATCGCCAGATCCGGACCGTCAGAATCTACGGACTTCAAGGGTGGCTGCGTCTTTTTCTGGAGGGCACCGACCTTTTTTTGTGAAGGAAAACTGATGCCATTTGGGCAGAGGGGGCGGGGAAGGAAGGAAGGAAGGAAGGAAGGGGGAAGGGGTCCCAGGTTTACCCAATAAAAGGACACACACTCACCGGAAACCGTGCTGGAAGTGAGCCAGCCACCGGGTTTTGGCGAGCTTCCTTGGGGACTGGAGCTTGGAGTCGGGCTTGGGCTGTCTCGAAACTGGGAATGAACTCCAGAAGGTTTTCTGGCTTGACTGCTAAAGCAGAGCCTCCCACAGGTTTCCCACAGGCCTGTCCGACAGCGCTTGGAAAGTGGTTGGTGGATGGGCTCAAGACGCAGATGGCCAGATCAACAGAATAGAAGTCCTACTTTTGTGTAATTCTAGGACGCTGCATTCTGCTCCTTCGAACACGCAACTGCCCAACAGAACGGCCAGATCAGAAAAGAGGCACCGTGAAGAACTGGGTAAGGGATGGCTGGAATTTGTTTGCCGTGATTCCCTCCCTTGGGGAACATCAGGTGGCTCCACTCTGAGGAATGTCTCTGCAAAAGGCCGGCTGTCTGTATGATGTTGGACCTCCTTTAATAAAAAAAACTTTCTATTGTGGATGCTTTTCTAATTCAGAATCGTTTGACTGTTTTAGGGGTTCTCTATTGTGGAAAGTTGCTTTGCCGGAAACAACGCTGGGAAAATATGGACAAAACAACTTGGCAAACAAGTCGGGCAAACAAACATTGGGAAATCCTTTTCTTGAAGTGGTCCCCAAACCAATAATTCCAAGATAACGTCTTTACAAAAAAAGTGCGGGCAAACAGTCACACAAAAGGGGGGTGCCCGCAAGAGGCCCAGATCCTGTCTTAATGCGATTGCTTTGGGGTCCTCTTTAGTGTCCAGCTGGTTTCGGGCTTGCTGAAAACTGAAAACCAAAGCCTCAGCCTTTTACTTTTTCTGAAGGGGACTCATCCTAAGCTCTCCCCAGCTCAACGGTTAAAGGCCTGAGATCTAAGAAATCGATTTTGCAAGTTGTTCCCAAACCATCAAATATAAAATAACTTCTTTACAAAAAAGTGCGGGCAAACAGTCACACAAAGGGAGGTGCCCACAAGAGGGCCAGATCCTCTTTAACGCGACTGCTTTGGGGTCCTCTTTAGTGTCCAACTGGTTTTGGGGGTTGCTGAAGAAACGATCCTTGGAAATACTAAAGTAGAATTGGCAATACTAAAGTAAGTACTGGGGATCTGAGAGTCAGCCTTGGCAATACTACAGTAGAATTGGCAATGCTAAAGGAAGTACTGGGGATCTGAGAGTCAGCCTTGGCAATACTAAAGTAGAATTGGCAATGCTAAAGTAATTACTGGACATCTGAGAGGGGGCCTTGGCAATACTAAAGTAGAATTGGCAATACTCAAGTCAGTACTGGAAATCTGAGAGGGGGTCCTTGGCAATACTAAAGTAAGTACTGTCCCTCCCAGACCCCCAGGAATTCACTAAAGAGAGTCCAGCTGACTGTTTCCACTGTTCAGGGGGGGTCACATTAAAGAGAGTCCAACATTGTAAAGAATCAAGGGATAGCAGGGCACCGTCTCAGCCCGCGAGCAGCTGCCCTTTCAGTTCAGCACATTTTGCAATGGTCAAAGCTCGCTGGATTCTCAGCTCACACTTGAATTTGGCGAGGAAGCCTGCCCTATGTCATCCCCGTTAGTACACTGATGGTTGCTCACATTGACATGAGCCACAGCCAAAACTCGGGTAGATGAAGGTAGCAAGGCCAGTCCCAGATATTGAGGGTGTCCGCCCTCTTGTTCTGTGTCTTTCTTTTTTACGCGTGGGGGGATCCCCTTTTTGGTGGGCTTGAAAGGGAAATTGAAAGGATGCTACCTTGTCGTGAGACAAACCCCTGGAACCCATTGTTGCTGGATGTCCCCTTCCAAAGGTTCCCCTTGAAACGATCCCCGCAGGTCCCAAAAACAAGAGCACGTATGGATCAAAATTATACCGCAGGTTTCGGTCCTAGTTTCCATCTACAAGGGCAAGCCTTTTGGGCTTACCCCATTTTTCACCCCCACACCCCATTTCTCGGTTTGCCCCCCCCCCCCCCCCGCCACACCAACAAAAAAAAGCAAACCACAACGCCCCTCCCGCCCTCTCCCCCCCCCAAAAAGAAAAAAAGAAGCCAACAAGGCCCCTCGAGGGAGCACTCAGAGAGAGCCCCTGGGAGGTTCCGGCATGCATGCGGATGCCATGGACCTGCCAGTCCGGCGGCAGCCCCTCCGCCCTGGGCTTCTGGTCCTGCGGCTGAAGGCAACGGGATGGAGCACGGGAGGACCAGACCTAAGATGAAAACCTAGCGTTAGATTTTTAAAAAAAAGGCATGCGTGAAGAAAGGGCGATTGAAAAAAAAGGACGATGAATGGGGCAAAAGAAATGCCGCAACGAAAAAAGCGACAAACAACACTTTTCAAGAGGCAAAGAGCCGAGAAGAACGTACCGAATAAATGCAAAAAAAAACCCAATCCCTTTGAGCTTGAGATGGGAGTATGTGGGTTCCTGTGGCCCTACCAAAAAAAAAGAAAGGGGCCGTATCAAAACCAGTAGCTTCAACTCGGTCCCGACGCGACGTGGCGACATCGATGTCTCCTGGTCACAGGAGGCCTTGTAAAATAGCGAGGCGCCTCGGCGCTTGGCTCGGGCTCGGTTGGCTATGTGGGTTCTGGGGTGTAGGTCAAAGGTGTCCCCCTCTTCGCCTTGCATGGCGACCTCTTCTCAGAATGGTGGACCTTTGAAAACCAAAAGGAAACTATACATTCTAGGCGGCCGCGATTTTGAGAACCCCTGTGATGCTCCTCTTACAGCAACGACCAAACCATTGCAAGCCGAAATGTCCACAAAAACACACTTGACTTCCGCGACTCTCCTTTTCAAAGAAGCCAAAGAGTGGTCTGCAATCTCAGCCCCAAAGGCAAAGAAAAACACGCCCTGCCAGCCAAATTCCCAGACCGCCATCCGAGGTGCTGCTGTACTTGGTGTTGAAGGCGCTACCTGAGCGGCACCACATTCCGCAAAAACCAGCAAAGCTTGGAACCTCCTACCTCCAACTGCCTTCAACTGCTTTCAAGGGAGGGGGGTTCCTCGAATCCTTGTGACGCAGATCTTTGGAGTGCAGTTCTTCAGGTAGATAGTCGGAGTCCTGTTGCCAAAGAAGCAAACACGTGTCTCAGAACTGCAGGGTTCATCACATGTCTCCTTAAAGCATGATGCACCAAAAGAAAATGCACATGCAAACGGCCAGAAGATGAGGTTCAATCCGAGAAGAAAATAAAGAAAGCTGTCTTGGTTTGGGCCAGGTTAAGGTGAGTTACCTATTGGTGATCTTTCAAAGAGAAAATCTAGTAGAGACTTGTGCTCTTCCCCTCTGCTGGCCTACACCGTGCAGCGCGTAGTCGTAGGGCTCACAGACGTTGGGCGCCCCGTCGTGGCACAGCCTTGGGATATGGAACCCGCAGACCCCCACACTCGGCGGTTTTGCCTGGAATAAAAGGGAAGCTGACAGGAGGGTGCAAAAAGGCAAGTGTCCTTTTCTGGAAACCTCTACAAACCGCTAACACGGTTGTGGGAAAGAACCTTGGTGCATATGACTGCTTTTTTAGCACTGCTCCTGTAGGCTCTGTCTCAAACTGGGGGAGACCCGTGGCTGGCTTGCAAGGCTTTGAAGGCAAGTCCGGAAAGCCGCCCCCAGCGCAAGCCAAGCTCACCATTTCAGCTGCCAAGTTGAAGGGCCTGCCTTCTGCGCTCACACCGACCGGGCCTGCCCATTCTGATGCATGCCTATTCGGGCCGTCGAGGAGAAGAAGATGCTTCAACATCAGAATGGGCCATCTCGAACTCCCGATCACTTCAAAATGGGACTCCCTTGGTATCACAGAAAGTAGCCCCGAGAAACTCCTAGGTTCCGCAACCGCGATCAAGCACTGCACACCTCACGCCCAGACACCTGCACACTCACTCGGAGCCCCACCCACCGCCGCACCAAACGCAGGGCTCGCCCCGCACCTGGCCGGGGGTCTCCCGCACGCGCCGAGCACCCCAACCCGCGCCCGAGCTGAAAAGTGCTCTGGAGGAAACACATGGCCTCCCCGCCTCTCGTGGAACCGAGACTTTTTGTGGGGGCTCCTGAACCACAAGTCAGGTGTTGACACCGAATTTTCATTTCCCTAGCCTCCCAGCCACCAGAAATTGGACTTTTGAACCGTGTTTATGTAAAGGGGGATCAGCAGAAAGCCAAAAACAAAACAAAACAAAAAAAGACACGGGACCTTCATGGTGAGCTGCAAATTCCCTCCCCCCAGCTCGAAAATAATCGCCGCCCCCCCCCCCCCTCCCCTCCCGCCCAAGGCGTTTTGCCCCATCCAATTCGATTCGCCTTGAACCCGGCCACGTACTCGTAGGGTCTGCCCTCCTTGCTGCTGGTGCAGGTCTCGAAATCCTTGCGCTTCCCACACGCGAGGAATTCGCCCTTTGTCCCTTGGGGGGCGAAGGAAGGTTGGGGAAAAGGCAGAGGCCCTTTTGGCCATGTGTCGCATTTGTCTTCTTTGGAGCTGTGAATTGGTGACGATTGCAATTCTACTCCCAAAATGGCTGGCAAAACCCAAGAGGACGTGGGGAATCTTTGAGCCATGACCTACGAGCAGTTTGCTCCTATTCCTTTTGAAATACACCATGAGGAGGCACAAATGTTGCCTCGTTGGAAAAACTCGACAACATCTGTGATTCATGGCAGGTCTCCTTCTTTGGTTCCCCCCTGAGATCCAAAAAAGGGAGTACACTACCTTCAGTAAACATCCCAGTATGGGTCACCGCTACCGTCTGGGGCTTAGGTGTAAGGTTGGTTGGCTTCGGTTTAAGTTTCAGGTGTTGGGGCTCCAGTTTGTGTTCTTGGGCATGGGGGGGTTAGGGTTTTAGGGCTGAGAGCTGAGAGTGTTCGCGGCGCGGTTCCAGCTTCAGGCTTAGGTTCAGGTTTAAGCCTTTGCATTCACGCCTTCAGGGTATAGGTTTGAGATTTTGTCCGCGTCAGCTTGGGATTGATGTTTCCGGAGGTTCAGCTTGAGGTTTTTAACTTCCGGCTTCAGTTTTGGATTGGTCTGGCATCCAAGCTCGGGGCTTCAGGCTTAGGGATTTAGACTTACGGCGGCGAGAGATGTTCGGGAAAACAAAGGGCACTGACCGCACAAATGTGCTGCCGACAGTGTGTTAGTGTAGAGTGGCTTTGTGTATTCTGTGGAAGGACAGAAAGCCAACAAAGGCCCCAAGAGTCATGTCGATTCTTTGCCAACTTGGAACCATGTTGCCAAACAACACAATTGAGTTGCTTCCCTGACTCCCTTCACTGCCCAAAAGTGAGTTCAAACATGATCTACCAGCCACCGAGCCCTTCGAAGACAACACCCTTAAGAAACAGGTGGCCAACATTTGGACCCTCAGTGTCCACCACCAGAGGTGGTTCGGGTGGGCGCTTTCGGAGCCTCGTGGCCGTATTGGAAACAATCCGAAGGGCCGGCCTTGATCTGGTTGCAGCCAGTCTCTGCGGACCTAGGTGTACGTGTCGGTGCCAAGAATTTGTGTCTGCTGCAATCCAATGGCTTTTAAGGGTTGAGTCGTTTCTGCGAAAAGGGATGCTGACGACACTCTTTCAGTGAGATTGAAGTGGACACAGGAGAATATATGTGGCTTGCAGCAAGCTCACGTTGGTTGACAACTTGACTCTCAATTTGTTTGGCAAAAAGTAAACACGATGTGTGTGTTTGTGTGTGTGTTGCGTACGTGCGTGCGTGCGTGCGTGCGAGCGTGCGAGCGTGCGTGCGTGCGTGCGTGCGTAGGTGCGTGCGTGCGTGGGTGCGTGGGTGGGTGGGTGCGTGGGTGGGCGGGTGGGTGGGTGGGTGGGTGCGTGGGTGGGTGGGTGGGTGGGTGTGTGGGTGGGTGGGTGGGTGGGTGGGTGGGTGGGTGGGTGGGTGGGTGGGTGGGTGCGTGCCTGCGTGCGTGCGTGCGTGGGTGGGTGCGTGGGTGGGTGGGTGTCGGTGTGTGTCGGTGTGTGTCGGTGTGTGTCTGTGTTTGTCTGTGTGTGTGTGTGTCGGTGTGTGTCGGTGTGTGTGTGTGTCGGTATATGTCGGTGTGTGTCGGTGTGTGTCGGTGTGTGTCGGTGTGTGTCGGTGTGTGTCGGTGTGTGTCGGTGTGTGTCTGTGTGTGTGTCTGTGTGTGTGTGTGTGTGTCTGTGTGCGTCTGTGTGTGTGTCTGTGTGTGTCTGTGCGTGTGTGTGTGTCTGTGTGTGTCTGTCTGTGTCTGTCTGTGTCTGTGTGTCTGTGTGTGTCTGTGTGTGTCTGTGTGTGTGTGTCTGCGTGTGTCTGCGTGTGTCTGTGTGTGTGTCTGTGTGTGTGTGCGGAGTGGCAGAATACCCTGCCACCACATTTCAGCGCAGGGGGCACGGCAGCTCATTCTCTAGCCGTGCCAACGAAGCTGTGAGAATGAGCCGGAAGGGAGTTTGGACGCAAACTCCTGCACCTGCAAGTGGTTCTGAAAGTCCTTTTGGCCCCCTTGGTTGCGGCGCTGTTTGTGCTTCTTGTTCTTTCGGGTAACGTGTTCGCTGCTAGAGGGAAGCCGAGTGCCCTGCGAGCCGAAACTTATGCATCAAAAACCTTATCCAAGCCGAAACTTGCCAGTTGTACTCGAAAGATTAGCACCCTCCATCTGGAGTCGAAGTGTGTACACCCCATTCGTGGGGAATCCTCGGGTGTACCCATCGTGTGACCCCGGGCCGGCTCTGTCGGAAAATTTGACCTCAACGTGCTTATCATAGAACAGCGGAATTTCAGATTTAATCAGGAACGAGGTTTCACTAAAAGGAAGACAGCCGTCAGATCATAGCTACGTCTCACCCTACGTTCTTTCTTCTCGCCTTCTTCTTCCGCGTGCCCGTCTTCTGGTTCTTCGCCCGCCTAGGGATGGCTTCTCCTTCCTCCCGTTCTCTTTTTGCTGCCTTTCGTGACCCGCGCGTTCGTCCCCCTCCTGTTCGCCCGCTTAGGGATGGCCTGGTTGTCCTCGCGTTGTTCACCTTTTTCCTCGTCTTCGTCTTCGTGTCTGTCTTCCTGTTCCTACTCCTCTTCTTCCTCACGTAGTTTGGCTTGACGTCTTCTTCCCCTTCCGTTGCTACTTCGTGT